GGGTGGGGGTGGGGGGGGGTGTAGGTTGGTCACAAGGTTGGCAAACGATTGAAGTAGTTTGCTCGTTGAGATCTCGCTCTGTAATTTATGTCGGTGGAAAATCGTGGTTGGAAAATTCAGAGTGTAAGTGTAAACCTCAAGGCTGGCCCTCCTATCATTTCCTAAAACCACTTCAGGCTCGCTGTATAAAGAAATGCATGCATGCACGCGCATATGCACACTCATAAAACGCATTTGCACAAATTTGCTGCTAAATTTTTCTACCCTAGTGAAATGGAATAAGCTTTTTTTTTGGTGGGGGTGCAACTGTGCTCCTCTTTGCTTGGGCTGAATAATCATTTTATCTAAGGAGACATAAGCAGTGATTTAGAAAACCTGACAAACAACCTGGCGGCACATTTTCCCCGCCTTACAAGGACAAAGACAATGACTGTCCTCTGTTGGCATCAGAAACGGGGCTCTCTGTTTTCATTCTGGGACACTAACATGGGGACGATCATACTTAGAGCTGTGAAACAAAGAGCACATGGATTCAATTAGGACTCTTTCTTTTAGTACAAACTGTACTGCATCTCTCTTTGAAAGTTGAAAATATTTTTAATTTATTGTGAGGAATTTGATTAAATAAATTCCTAACATTTTTTTTAATTTTGCAAAAAGTAATTTGGTTGCTTTTGTTTTTAATGCTCATTAAATCAGAAGTGTTGTTTTGGTGTAAAGAAAGATAGGGAAAAAAAAGACAGGAAATAGAGGAAAATGAGGCAACTTCTTGTCTCTGGGAGCTGTGACCTGCATCGAGTTTCCTGCTCTTCAGAGGCACGTGTTCTAACATGTCACAGCCACACAGAGAGCTTCACTGGAGGCGTGTTGTTAAAACACCGGTCTGCTCCATACAATGCTTTTAATGAAAAGTCCCTCTGTTTGGGATGCAACCCCTCACCCCCTCCCTATCCCACAACAACAGACACATCCCAAAGCGGCGCGAGGCTAAATGGAGGTCAGAAATAAGTAAACATTTTAGGTAAAAGAGTTGTTGGCTCAGGTATGTTTGGAGATGAATCATTCATGCATTTTGTCACAGGTTTTAGAGAGAGAATAGAGGCAGTTTAAAGAAACCGTTTATATGATCAGGTTCTTGTCGCCCGCAGCACGAAAGGAAACTACCGCCTCAGCAAAAGACAGTCTTACTGTAATAATGGATGATGAGTACTCCAGTTGTCAATGTTTCAACATACGGTAAGGGGGAGGGGTTTACCTGGTTCTGCAGACCTGGTTGCCTGGAGATGTGGAGGCAGTGAAGTCTCGGAGGGTTTAAGATACACGGAGATCATCTTGATCCGAGGAAGGGAAGTGGCRTGTTGGGGAGGGGGGACGGGGGGGAGGGAGTCTTTGTTTTAATTGTTGTTATGACACAGAGGTGTTTTTGTTCATCTCTGTGGGAAACGGGCACAGCTCGTGCAGTTTGTCACTCATGTTTTCAGCTCGTTTTTGTTCTTTCGGAGTACAAACCGTGTTATTTCAAGGCAGTATTATCTTGTCAAAAATTTCCAAACACAACTGGAAATTCAAGCGAGTTCGATCAGGCCCGGTAATAGCTGGCTTTCCAAAAAGATTAGTTAAATCCCTTTTAGGGAGACCTTTAACTGGAATAGCCTGAAATGCCATCACTAAGTGTTTCACAATTCCTCGTCAGCAGTTTTCTGGTTTTGGAAGCCGGAAATACACATAGATAAGACAAATAGGAGTGTTGAGGAGATGTACATTTTTAATGTATTTCAGGTGTGCAGACTTTGTGTTTATTAGGTAATTGGTTTCTTTAATAAATGAAGTTTGAGGAAACGTCTAGCCTAAGTTTGTTTTGTCAAGTTTGCTGGTATTTTACACACATTGATGCAATTTTGCTGTATAAGTGTTTCGGTTTTTTTTTCCGTGCAATACTTTATTTTTCATAATAATCTAAGATTATTGCTAAAAATCTGTCAGTTACATAAAGTTCTCTCTGTGTTTTGGACTTTGTGTTGACCTATCTGTGTGTAAAGTAGTGTGTGCAAGTAATTGCCAGTAAAACTGTCAATAAATATCTGCCACTTTTTAATTACTGCAGTTAGTGCCATGAGAGGACCAATTTTTGTGTACAACACAATATCTCTATCAGGCACACATGTGAGCCCAATGCGGTGTGGAGCAGCTAACCCAAACTTCTTTAATCACCCGAAACACCGACATAAACTAGAGTACCAGGAAAGCCAGAAAATGTGGACCAAGACTACATTGTTGTCCACATGACGCTGCAAGGGGTTTTTCTAGATGTTTTTGCTCAAAATACCATGCTGAAATGTAATTGAGTGTATCTCAGCATTTACAAACTTTATTTAAATAATCTTGGTATCAAAATAAAGCTGCCACTTGGGAGATTTCATCAGAAGTGTGAAGTATGAAAACAGCTACTGTTGTTTTAGAGATACTGAGGATGGAACATAATTATTTTACATTTTTTTTCCCCGCCTGTCTGAATAATGTTTGGATTAGACAGTGTATAACCCATTTAAAACCATAATGAATCAGGCTAAAAACTTTTGGAAACCATAAATCCACTTGTGGACATTACCTGTGAAAGATTCATGCTGCTAAAATTAACTGGAGCAAAGTTACAGCGGTTTTAGTAAAGGAATAATTTAGCATTTTGTCATTCTGCACAGGATGGACCACGATGGTACCATTAATAAACGCTAAGAAATCTTGAGTTTTTAATTGCAAAACTTCTTATCTACCTGAAAAGACTTGCTATTGAATGTTTGTTCTTTTGAAAAATTATCCAAACATTTAATTGTCACCATATATACAGTAGATTGTATAAAATAATGGGAAATTTTATTTCACTTCAGTTGGACCATATTCACTCAAAATCAAGTTAAAAAAAACTTTCAACACACTTTACAACCTATTTTGGTATCTGCTTTGACTTACTTTAAAAACAAATGTCAAAAGATTTTCCTTTACAGATTTGTTGTAATCTATTTACATATTTGCAACAATCCCATTTTGTACAATTTATTTACTTTCTGATTCAACTGCCTGTCATTTGAACTGTATTTGGTGGATGTAAATATAGTTTCCATGAGCTTTTAGCCAAGATTCTCAGGTTTATTTTGATACCAAGCCTGTCCCGGTTCAACTGACAGATCTTAAGTTAGCAGAATTTAAAGGATATAGGAAACGGGAAATGCTGTTTTGCCCCCGGTACTGGGGGTATGGGGCTCTTAAATGCCGTCAATATTGCCTAACCCTAGTAAAATGGATTCATATGTTCTCACCATTTTTTTGTTTGCTAAAACAACCCCAGATCATAGAATCATTCTACAACGTTTGATAAAGTTACACCTGTGAAATACCTGTCTTACCTGCAACTAAAGGCAGCTGGAGCATCTGTCGAAACAAACACTGCAGTTCTCACCTTCAATCTAAAAACTACTACACTTGTGTTACTTTTATTAATTTTTTCATATTTTGTTTTCAGATTCTTTCGTCAACAGCCAGGAATGGACATTGAGTCGATCAGTTCCCGAGCTGAAAGTGGTGAGTTTATTCATTAATTTTTTTATTTATCTCATCAGCTTGACAGTTGATTTTTCCCTCCCTCAGGGGTTTCATCATCCAGTTTTATCAAACAGATATAGTTAAATTTCAATGGGAAAACATTTTGCGCACAAGTTCTGCGTTTCACAAAAAGGAGAGGATTTAAGTAATTGGCTGGACCTTTCTGCTGGCAWTGAGCCGTTTGTTTTTTACTCCTTTAATGAGACGTGTTGGCACACAGATGCAAGGTGGCTTGAAGCAGGACGAGGAGATGAGTGACAGTTTTGGGCTAGACCGGTGACACATCCTGGGTCTGATCTCAGTGAAGCACACTCACAAAGCCACTGCCAAACACTCAACCAACATCCTAATACGGTTTGATTCTTTTCAGCCGTAATGACAAGCAGCACCAAAAAGCTTAACTCCTGCTTTTGTGTTCGACGATGTGATGTCGTCCCTGTAAGGTGAATTCTTTGTTGTGGCTCTTTTGGGAGAGGAAAAAAGGAAAAAAAAGTTCAATTAAATAAAAATTCAAAGCTGTGATTTCAAAAACTAACTTGCTTTTTTGGCTTCAAGCACTTCAAACGTGTCCTTGTATTTCTGATACTTAGGTGTTAATTGGGAGTTTCCACAAAGTGGCTTGTTAAGTGGACCTGGTGAGACTGAATGAAATGAATAATAATAATAAAAAAAATCAAATCATGCAAACTTTAAAAGAATTTAGTGACAGGTTGTCACCAAAAATCATGAAGTCTTTTCCCCCTCTTTGCCATCATAGTCACTTCAATTTTTTAAAAATGGCTCAAAACGTTTCCTGCAGATTATCTCGGAGCAGATTATCGATCTACAGCGTCCATCCTAAATCTAGGTGTTGTCGCAGCTGAATCCCCCGACTCGATTGCCGCCGTTTTCATCATCCACTTAAAACTGTTCCCAGATCAGAGCGAAACATCTTCAAAGAGGAGGGAAAGTTTTGCAGCGGAGCAGTGCTGATGGCGCGTCTTGTTTTCACGAGACCTTTATAAGCAGCAGGTATCAGGGCTGAACACTTAAAACAGCAGGAAGCATCACTTCGCAGACACAATCTTTTTTGTTGACTCGTAGCTTTTTCCTTTTTACTATACATAGCCTCAAACGTTTGCTAACAGATACACTTTTTTCTTTTTTTTTTATTGTGAGCTTACATGCATTCTTCGTGTTGAAAGAACACAGTCTTGGAAAGGCCTGGAATTATTTTCTTCATGTGCGTCAAACATCTCTATAATTAGAGCCATACCTGACTTTACCACCCACTAATGATTTGATGAGGAAGAAGGGGYGATGGTGGGTGGAGGAGGAGAGGGAGGGGACGGTGCGTCCTTTTGTTCCTCTCAGACACGCAGGCATCTCCAGCCCACCCTCCACCAGGCATCACCCTGAAGGCATCACAGCGAGGTCTGGTGCCGGCAACAGGGAGTTAAAGCAGCGCAACGATTTTAACCAAACTGCTGCGTGGTAACACAACGTTGTACATAGTTGCTCATGTTCTGATGCATCTCAGTAATCCAGGTAAAAAATCAAAAAGAAAAAAAATGTGTAGGTCTTCTGGACGGGTTCTTCTCTAATGAAACGTTTCGTCTCTCCTCCAAGAGACTTCTTCAGTCTGAGAGTTTCAGGCAAAATTCAGGCTTTTAAGCCCTGCCTCCATGTGACTGATACTCACATCAMTGCTAAGTGCCAGGAGGACTGTGACCAGTTATACATCAGAGAAACAAAGCAGCCACTGTTCAAAAGAATGTCCCAACACAGACGAGCTACATCTAATGGCCAGAACTCTGCAGTTTTCACTCATTTACAGGCCAGCGGTCACTCTTTCAGAGATGAGGATGTTCTCATTCTTGATAGAGAGGAACGTTGGTTTGAGAGAGGAGTAAAAGAAGCCATTTTTGTGAAGACCGTCCATCATTAAACAGAGGTGGAGGCCTCCGTTTTCAGCTGTCCCCCTCCTACAGCGCGGCCATTGCCAGTATCACTCCACCCCCTGTTAACAATAAGTGTTAATTAGGTGTCAACGATAGCCATGTGATGTGAGTATCAGTCACATGGAGGCAGGGCTTAAAAGCCTGAATTTTGCCTGAAACTCTCAGACTGAAGAAGTCTCTTGGAGAAGAGACGAAACGTTTCATTAGAGAAGAACCCGTCCAGAAGACCTACACAATTTTTTTCTTTTTGATAGTTGCTCATCCTCTCCTGGTTAAAAAAAAACAAGTAACCAAATCATTTAGTTTTTCTGTAAATGCAACTGCAGTTACTGTTCTTTGTATTTGAAATACACCAGATTTATGAAGTTCAAACCTCCATAAATAGGTAATTTGGTTCAAACCAGTCTTGTATAAAGTGCATCTATGTGATGCTTGAGTAAAAGTACAATTATCTTACCATAAAAATGTATTGCTAAATGTTAAAATCTTCTTTAAGAATAGTATTTGAGTAAAAGTATCTGACATTTACTATACTTAAAGATCAAAAATAATTTTCTGATATAAAATGTACTTGAGTATTAAAAGTAAAAGTATCTGAGTAAAAGGGAGAGGTTTTAATTTCCAAAATGAAATTTTTTTTGAAAGGCGGCCTCCCCAAAACCACATTTTAACAAGCCGGAATGAAATAAGGGTAACACATTTTTATTTCTTACATTTTATTTTATAATTGTAAGGAGAAAGTACAGATAGTTCCGTGCAAATGTAAGAAGTAGAAGTAAAAAGATGTCTGAAAAATTAAGTGAAGTATAGATAACCAAAATGTCTACTTAAGTGAAGTAGCAAAGTACTTTTACTTTGTTATTTTAAAATTACAGTTTGAGCTTACCTTATTTGACTTTGTATGTATGTAAAGATGCTGAGAGAGAAAATTGCACCCATTTTAGGAAAAACGAATCATTTTATTTGGTGTAAGATTCCAAATAGCAACCTGTTTTCTCAAGAAAGCTTACTTGCCATAAAAAATAACATTTTAATTTTAGTGTAATCATCTATGTAAATCAACTATAATACTTTCTGTGTGTTCATTTTGTGGAGCCCTACACAGCAGCTCTTATGAGTCACTGTATAAAATCTAGATTAGCTATAATCCTGAAACTAAATAATAAGCATGCCTCAACATTCAGTATTTGGACATTTTTAGGTTTTTGGTTATATTGACTAGGAAAGGCTTCAATTGTAGAGCAGCGTTTGCGCGTAAGCCGCTCAAATTATGTTGCATCTAAACAAGTCTGTGTGACGTCAGGTTCAGATTTACCAGCAGAGAAGCGTGGCCCTTTGGGAAGCCAAAACGTAGCACTTCAGACAGAAGAGGTGCAACCTGCAAGATGAGAAAAATAATAGTGTTTCTGAGCGTTAATAGACACACTAAATGCAATATCTGGTATCTGGATGGGGGGGGGGGGGTGGAATTTGCAGAACAGGGAAAGAATTCATGATTTGAACAGTAGTGATGGTATTTTAGGCATTAGACATTTTATAAATTTGTATCAAAAAGACATAAAAAGGCTCACTTGATACAAGTCATTTAATTTGTACATTTGGGTAAAACTTGCATAAAACAGAAACATTTTACTTTAAAGGGGACATATCATCCACATAAAATCCACATAAAATCCACTTTTTTGCCATTAAATACATTTTGTTGTGTACTTGGAGTCTCCAGGAGTGCAGAAAAGTTGAATTTAGTCTCAGCTGCGTAAATATCTTCATTTTCTGTTTGGGTCATATTGTTCAACTCATTCAGCTTTCTCTATTCTCTATGATGTTAGGAGACAGTTTTACTGATGTTTTTGGAACTATACATCACAGTTTTTGCAACGGAACTTCCAAATAAGATCCAAAATTAATTATTAACCAATTTGGTCATCTTCATTCTCCTCTGGCTCTGGGTCAGACTCCGGCTCCAACATGTAAGGTTGAATGGGCAATTCTTGTTTGGATTTAAAGAGACAGCCTCGAAACGGGTTGATCTGAGACAGGGAGTTGAGGGGTGAAAGAGGGGCTTGTGGAGTTACAATAAGAAGGAATTCAGAACAAAGTGTTGCAGTTCCACTTCATGTAGACCCCACCTGAAGGATTTAAATGTTAAAAATTAGGATTTTTAACCTATTTTTTCCCACTAAAAGTGGTTATTTTTAATTTTGTAAACATTATTTTTTCTGTGTGTGTAAATATTGTGTCTTAGTAGCTGCAATTTTTGAAAAAAAAAATCAAGTTTTAAAAATAAAATGTCCTTTTGCCAGATTTTTTTTTTGTGTGTCCTGTCAATAATAATCCTGGTGTTTTTGCAGGGCATTGTGGGAAATCTGTCCAGTGGGAAGTCTGCCTTGGTGCATCGATACTTGACAGGCACATATGTGCAGGAGGAGTCTCCTGAAGGTAAGAGTTTTCTAAAGGTCAGTGAGGAAATCACAGAGCTGGCAACACAGAAAGCAAAACAAACAAAAGAGTCTGAATTTTACAGGTGGTTTTCTGTTGCTTTGGAAAACATCCACTCGTTTGAAGTGAGCGACAACATGTGTTTACATTTTCGGTTCAGGGTGATGACCATCACGTTTGAGTAGGTGTGCTGATTTATTTACATCTGAGCTTCATGTTTTTGTGGAACCGCTTTATGGCAGCGAAATGTAAGCAAGGTGAATAGAAGCGTGCAAACATTTCCATGTTTTGTATGGTTTGAGAACCATAACATGACATTTCTGACCATTAAAAGCACGGTTCAGACACGGTGGAGGTTACATCATGATGGGAACCTGTTGCTGTTGTTGTCATCCAAAGCTGATAAACAGTAGCTGGGGAAATTTAGGTGAAGTTTTTCTTGCTCCGGTTTGTCACAAAACCAAAAGCAACATTTTTACTTTAATTCACAAGTGTGCATCCATGAGGATCTGTTTTGTTGTGTTTGCTGAAGCCACTACTGATCGTGTGGTCACGCTTTAGGTCGTACGCTTTTTAGAAATATAAATAGTTGTAACCCGTGAAGCGCCTTTGCATTTTAACCCTGTTGTGAAAACATGCTCGTTGCCAGCACCTCGCAAGTAACAATTTTTTTTTCACAGTTTGTTTTTAAAAATATTCAAAGCTGAAGTAGCGAAATAGCTTCTTTTGTTTTCTGCACAACGAACATAAAGTATGTTCCGTGTTACTGTGGTTGGATTAGAAGTGCCTCTGGATGTTTACATCAAAAAAAGGGTTCTCGTCACTTTTTACTGAATAGTTTGCAATAAAATGTTTTGTGTATAGTTGTGTAGCTTGGCCTGATTCGTCTAGGAAAGTTCTCTAAAACTATAAGCATCGCTCGTTTATTATCACCAAAACGTAAATGTCAATTAAAATTGTTACACTTTTCTAAAGTTGTCAGCAGCAGTTTTTGTTGCAGTCCTAATCTGCCGCCGGATTTCACCATGTCTGTCTGCACCCAGAGGAGAAACGGTAACAAGATTGCCTCCGTTTGCCCTAAAATGGCTCGTCCTTTGAAAATCCACTAAGATGTTGGCAAACCCAGAGTTAACTGATGAACTTTGAGGTTTTTTTTTTTTCTTTTTTTTGCAGTGTTTCGTTTTAATGTAATTATAGTGTGGATGAGACATGAAGCGCATAATTAGTTTCTGGCATTTCGCTGCACCAAGGGAGTAAAAAAATAAATAAATAAAAAACATTCTTATAGCTTAATTAGTCCTTGAGAAATCAATGATGGAAATGCAGGAAAAAAATAGAGCGAGGGTTGTAGCTGTAATGAAGGGGGAAAAAAATAGTTGTCCGTGTGTTCTTACGCTTTGCTGCAGGTTGCTGTGATACAACATACCCGCCTCGTGTGTAACGGCTTCTCAGGGCTTCTCTTTGTTTCGTGTGTGATTTTATTTATTTAATTGTTTGTTTGTTTTTTTTACCACTGGCTTCCCTCCAGTTTCGAGTATTTAACTTGAAGATGCGTCGCCCCAGCAGCAGAGGAAGGTTCAGCTGTAGCTTCGCTCTGTACTGTTTTGTTCCCGTGCTTTCGCTATGATATCTGGAAAAAAAAAAAAAAAAAAGGTACCGGGGTGTGTTGCTATGGCAACACCGGMTGGAGCGCCGTTGGATTGTGGCTGCGTGTCAAGGTCTGAGCCTCCGTGTGAAGCAGAGTATGCTTACTGCGTGTTAACCATGCTCACCAACTCACCGTTTCTATGTGTGCAGGAGCCTTTTTTATTTATTTATTTTTTCAGATATTGAGCACAAACACAAACTAATATAACTCAGAATTAGGTTTTTTTATCTCGCCACGACTGCAGCAACAGTCTCACTGCTTCACAGAACTGTGCATTTTATTTGTCCATTTCTAAATAAAGACGCCAGCATTCTGGATGATTATGTAACGGACATGTTTACTTCCAGTCCCTTCCTTGTTTTTCACAGAGCCATATGCTTCCGTCACATAGCCGGTTTCTGAAAGTCGTCCTCATGATCTCCTCTGGCGTGTGTGCAGTGTCCAAACAAGGACCGCACTGTGATAAATCTTTGGCTCTCTGATCCCACTTTGTAATGTGATTCTGCTCTTTTTTTTAACCAAGAATCAAACGCGCACATGCGTCGCTTTTCAGATCTTTGTCTGAGAGGCTCCAGAACTCTGGGACTTCAGTGAACTGAGTAAATAGAGAAAAAAATAAATAAAAAGCCTGCTGGTGTTTCATCAATCTTTCACTCTTTATTACACAACTCAGCATCCAAGCAGGTCCTGAGAGTCGCTGCAAGAAAGTGCAGCGGCCTGAAATGGGCTTTAAAGAGTGGAAATGTGACTCAAGCATTTATCTATTGCTTGCTGACACAAAAACGTAATGTTATGCATATAACTACTGTTCCCTGAAGGAAAGGAACGAGGTACAACATATGTATGGGAACCACGCTCCTGCGTGCCCTGGCTGAAGCCACCTCTAATC